TCACGGATAGTCATGGCAGATTCTGTGCCTGTGCCTTGGCCTTACTATGGGTGGTGGGAAAGGAGCCTCGGGAGCAGGGAGGACAGGCACCGAATTCCAACCCTGCCTCTGGCAACTGCTGGAAGGCTTCAGACTAATTGCTTAGCTTCTCTGAGCCCAAGTCTTGGTCATCTATAAAGCAGGATGCTCCCTCCAGCATGGGCATGGGGGTTCCTGGTGCGGAGTACTTAGCACCAGCACCCATTCAGCGCAGAGCATACCAGAGCATACCAGCAGGGGCTCCCTTTCTCCTGCTCCCATGGATCCTGCTGTGCTGGAGCAGTCCGGGGACACACAGCAGCAGCCCTCCTGCCCACATCCTCCTCCTCTTTCCCTCTACCCTGCAGAGCATGGCTCGGCTTGGGGTGTGTGGGCGGGGAGAGCAGAAGCGCGGGAGGGCTGGGGGCTGGGGCAGGGCACACGGGACCTTTGCTCTGACCTCCTGCCGCGAGCGCCCTAGAGGGTCTGCTTTAACCACACACCGGCAGCACACCCAGTGCCTGACTCAGACTTTTGCATCACTCTTGGCTCCCAGGCAGTGTTGGGAAGGAATGGATTCCTTCACTCAATGGCGAGTGCACCCTGCCCCCAGCTGTCCAGTTTGTGATGTGTTCAGAGGCAGAGGGAGAGCTCAGGGCTGGGGCACCAGAGACTGCCTCCCTTCCAGTATTCTGGCTTCCCCTCTGCCCCGAGCCTGGAGCTATTCATAACCCCTGAAATGAGGTGTGCACGAGCAGGACCCCAGCTCCTCCACAGTAGCACGGTGGGGAAGTGGGGGCAGACACTGACGTACTCTCACTCTGTGCCCTGCGCTGCTCTTAGTAATTTCCATGATGTGCTTCTATTTAATGATGTGCCTTGTTTAGTGTAGGCAAGTACTGTTATTATCCTGTCTTACCAGATAGGAAACTGAGGCACAGAGGGGTGAGAGACTTCCACAAGTTCACACACCCGGCAAAATGAGAGCTTGTGAAGGGGATGATCTCGTGGGGCCTGGGACTTATTCCTTCCCATCCAGTCCTCCTTTTGTCGTTGCTGCTGAGCCATGCTTCAGGCCCTGGTCTCTGTTTCTTCCCATTTCTCTGGCTTAGCTAGGTTTAGGATGCTGACTACCAAGTCTTTTCCTGTGGCCCCATGACGGAAGATGTGGGGGTGGTGGGGATAATGGGGCCATAAGGAGCCAAAATTGGGGGCCCCATTCCTCTTCCCTTCAGTTGCCAGCAAATTGAGGCATCGAACAGTATTCTGAGAGAGCTCCCATGTCTCCCTCATTGCCATTATCATCCTAGAGGTTCCTCCCCTGGCTGTGGTTCTGTGGCCTGGTCCCTGGCCCTTGCCACACTTGGTAGGTAGTCTTGCCTCTTGCATTGCAAGTTAGCATGTACAACAATTAACCTTTTCTACAGTGCAAGAGAATTTCAGATGTGCGCTACAGGGGATGGAGACAAGTCACAGTATCTGTTCCATGCTTTGTGTGGGCTCAGAATATTTCATGAACCCTACTAGGCTTTTTGTGTCTAAGGGCATGTGGCTTCTTAGAGGGAAGGTCCTTCTTTCCTTCCTTCCTTCCTTCCTTCCTTCCTTCCTTCCTTCCTTCCTTCCAGTCTGGGTCCCTGAGATCTATAGATCTGGGCCGTTTGGCCTCCACTGTCTTTGTTCATGCCATAGAGGTGAGCCCTTCCTACCTTTCCTAGGTGACTCTGTTGGCTTCTGGTTGAACCTTCTGGTGGCCCCGATAGCACCTCAGGAATTCTGTTTCGTTCCCCTTCTCCTCTGGCTTGGAGCTCAGGCACCTCCACCACTCCCCCCTGCACGCCCCCCCACACCCCCCCACCCCATTGCGGTTCTTTACTTAGCTCTCTACTCCAGATTATCACATTCTTGATATGCTCCCTCCAGGCTTTCTGTACCCCGCAGCTGTCTACAAAGCCTTTTTGGCTCTTCAGGCTCTTGCCCCGTGACATCAGCCAGCTTGCCTGCCTGACGCAGTTGAAGGTCTTGCTTTCACGGCTTGAGCTGATCTTCATATCCGTTCAGGGATTTCTGATAAACACGTACCTAGATGCCAAGCATCAGTCTTCATGGGAAATTATTATTTTTCTTTTAGAATTTAAAAATACTACTCTTTCCAATTTACTGATTTCATGAAATCTAATCCCGTTTCACAAATGAGGAAACCCTTTTCAGAAAGGAAGGTTGGCTTACCTGACCCAGGCTGGGAAGAACAGAGCTGGGAAGTGAGGTGTACATGGTTCCCAAGGCCAGGTGTGTTGTACTGGGGCCGTCTGGCTCATCTAGCAGGTAAAGAACTGTGTTTAAGCCTGGAGGTGGGATGTGAACCCAGGCCTTGTGACTGCAAATTCTCCTTTGCCACACGATCTAACCTAAGGCAGAAAGAGCAGAACTTGGAGTGTGAGCTCTGAGTTCACGAGGGACCAAGGGGCCCTTGGGTTTGGGCCTTGGGATGTCTTCACTTAGCACAGCTCTGGCTGGTCAGACCTTAGAGCGACTACCCAGGCTGTGGTCCCTGGGCTGCATTTATAAACCCATCCTATAGTCTTGCTGGCGACTTGTGCCCGCTTCTCAGTGGGCTCCAGCCTCAGCTCAGAGGTGATGGAGAGGGTCCGGTGCTGTGGGCAGTTGTGCTGCTGGCTTTTAGTGATGAGTGCCTCTCCAATCACAAAGCACTCAGAAGTACTCTTTCATTAGATGCTTAGAATGGTTCTGTGAGGAAGGGGGCCAGGTAGGTATTACCCCGCCCCCCAACTTATAGATGCAAAACAGGCTTAGGAGGGTAATGACCTCTCCAAGGTCACTGGAGATATTGACAAATTCCAGACCCCTGCCCTGTTTCCCCGGATTGACCTCAGGTTGCCTCCGCGTAAATCTTCCTCTCTGGACTTCATAGTGATCGATGTACCTGTAGGGGGCGATAGAGATCTTTTCTGTGTCTACCTCCTCTAGTACCCTGGCACCCTCAGATTGGGACTCTTCTATTTTGTCTTGGCATCCAGGACAATGTGGGACCCAATAAATGCCTGTTGAGTTGAATTGCATGCAAATGAAATTGGCCAGTGCCTCGTCCTGCGTTTCTTAGAGCATGAGAAAGGAAAATAAACTTATTTCCTGGTCCATAATAAAATTGTTGGTGGCAGAACTCCAAAGTTGTGCAGTGCCCCCATATGGCCACTAGGTGGCAGTGTAACCCCATCGGGACCTTGCCTCCTGCTTGCTCTCGGGGAGACAGAACTAGGGCACCTGTTTGGGGATCACCTCTGCAAGGCCAGTCTGCAGTTGGCTGTCTGAAATTGACAAGTCTTGGCCCAAGTCTCGGCCTCCACCCCTCTTCGTAAAGCTTCGTAGTGTCATGGAAAAGGCTTGGGCTTTGGAATCCGCCAGGCTTAGATTTCAACCCTGGCTTTGCCTTTCCCCAGGAACTTAGCCCTGGACACACTATTTCTCTGAGCCTCAGTTTCCTCATCCCATAAGATGGCAGTTGCACAGTTAGAAAGGGCCTAGTACATCATGGACTGCAGCATGATTAATTCTAGTTTTATTGCTGGAAATTCCTGTATTTGCCTTTCACTGCCCTCTGTCTGGCTCCATCCTGGCCATCTGATCTTTCTGACCGAATTTCCTGCCACATCCCCCAGCTGTGTAGGGCCATGCAGGGCTAAACTTGATGGCTCACAGAGATGCTAAGTCTCTTAGGGTCTTTGTCTGAATTATTCTAGCATTGGAGCTGTGCCTTCAGCAGACGGTCTGTGAGGGAAGTGACCGCTCTGGTTGTTGGGCATCTGACATGCACCCTGCTCGGTGCTTTGCAGAATTGTTTCACTTAATCCTTGCAACAGATCTATCCCCTATTTTACATAGGGATATACCTTTAGCTGTCCAGCCTTTGGCTCTGAGCAATAAAAAAACTCTGCTAAAAGCAGTTTAAATAGTAAGGAAAGATGATTATCTTGCCAAAAACAAATCCTGAGTGATGCTCGTTGGTGTCAGCAAGGACCCAGGTAGCTGCCATATCTCCTGGTCTCTCTTATGGAGCTAAAGTGACTGCCGTAGTTCCAGGTGCCAGGTGGGGGAAAGATGCTGCAGCTGCCTTGTGCTCCCTTTAAGAGGCTGCTAGCAGATTTGTTACAAAGTTCTTGAACGGTGTTGGATCTTAGGCATGTTCCCAAGCTAGTCCTCGAGTAAAGGAATTCATGGACCTGGCTTGGATTTGTCAAGATTCAGCCCCTGAGGCTGGTGAGGGATCAAGGTGAGGGATCCGTGTTCGGGATCCGTGTTCCATTTGCCCCTGACCCCTGGTCCATGGACAAAGGCATAGGAATGAGGCTCGTGAGTTCAAGAACTTGCTCAAGGTGGCAAACCTAATAAGAAGCAGCTTTCCGATCCCATCAGGCTGTCGGCTGGATGAATGAAGTAAATCACAGAGGTAGAAAGCACATTGCTCTGGATTTGGTGTGCTGGACTTTGATGGATCTTGGAAGTACCTTTTCTTACTGATTCAGTCTCTCCTTTCTCTAGGCTCCTTTCTGTAATGGTATTCATTTTCCTCAGTGTCTTTCTCCTCAATGCCTCCTTTAGCCCCCGTCTCCCAGTCCCCAACAGCTGCCTGCCTTCTAGAATAGACTTCAGACCCATAGCTAGTCAGAATGGTTCAAGGGCTGATTTCATTTCAGTAAAGCTGTCAAGGCCCCATGGGGGTCATCTTAAGGTTTCTTTTAGAGCAGAGAAGGGAGCTGCAAAACTCTAAGTCAGGAAGGGTTAGGAGAGGCCAGAGGAAATGCCAAGGGAGCTGGTAGAGGCCAGCGGTAGCACGGAGCTTACGGTTCCCCAGTGGAGAGGTCCGTGGGCTCCAGGGCCAAGGCCTTGGAACAGGCCCATGCTGGGCGGCGGCCGGCTGTCCGCCTGCAGAAATGGTGCATTTACCCAGGAGGCCTTTTGGCTTGCAGATGCTTCAGGACTGCCCCAAGGCCCGCCGGGAGGTGGAGCTGCACTGGCGGGCCTCGCAGTGCCCACACATTGTGCGGATCGTGGATGTCTACGAGAACTTGTATGCGGGCAGGAAGTGCCTACTGATTGTCATGGAGTGGTAAGCAGCCCGGCCTGTTCTCCTTGCCCAGCCTGTCCCCACTGCCCACTCAGACCCCTCGCCTTCTGGGGACTGCCCAGGTCTGCGCGCCAGAGCTTGAAATGTTGATGCTCCATTTTTTTTTAGCGGGGAATGGAGAGGGCTGGTGGGGTGTTGAACCCGTCAGATCTGACTGTGGCTTTGTTTCAGTTTGGACGGTGGAGAACTCTTTAGCCGAATCCAGGACCGAGGAGACCAAGCGTTCACAGAAAGAGGTAGAAAGGGTCTGTTGTGGGGACAGGCTGCGGCAGGCAGGGCTGGGGGAAGGGGGCTCTGGGGCCTGCTGTCTGCCAGAGATGCCGAGGCCCACTGCCAGGCCTGCCATCCCCCGCTAAGACAGGACAGTGCCTTGTTTCTCCGTTTCTGGGGGGGTTGGGTGGGGGACGTAGAGAGCCCGGGGCTGCATGGGAGGGCACGGAGTGTAGTGAGTCATCAGACCTAATGGTGCCTCTTGTGCCTTTCTTTCTCCTGCCTCACGGCTCCAGAAGCGTCAGAAATCATGAAGAGCATTGGTGAGGCCATCCAGTACTTGCACTCAATCAACATTGCGCATAGGGATGTCAAGGTACCCCGGGGTTCACTGCTGCCCGTCCCCCCCAACCAAGGTGTGGTGGGGGGGCCCCCGGCTGTGGGGCCGCAGTGACCCTGTGTCCCGGCTGCCTGGCTCCTGAGGGCGGAGTAGCACAGGGTGCCATTCTCTGCCCTCTCTGGCCATACCCCCAGACCCAGTAGCCAAGGCGTCTGTGGCTACGCCCAGCACTGCGGTCCGTCGTTGGTCCCACGCAGTCACGCCTTTGGTTTCCATGTCCCTGTGGTGTTCGCTCGTGGTTCTCTGTGTTTGTCTCTTGTCTCCAAGGACTCTGTCAGCTCCAGAGGCAGGGGCGCTCGTTATGGTGTGCCCATCGAGGGGGATAGATGATGGTTGGAAGGATGAGGGAAGGCAGGAATCCTTACCCTTCTGATTCTCATGGCTCCTCCCAGGCTCAGCAGAATTGCTGTTTGTCTGTCTCTCTCTCCCTGTAGCCTGAGAATCTCCTATACACCTCCAAAAGGCCCAATGCCATCCTGAAACTCACAGATTTTGGCTTTGCCAAGGAAACCACCAGCCACAACTCTTTGACCACTCCTTGTTATACGCCGTACTATGTGGGTAAGTGCTGGGAGGCCTGGGAGCTCGTCTCTCCCCAGAGCTGTTCTCAGGTGCTCTCTCCGGCTCTCGGGCCACTGGGCCTGTTGTGTTTTCTGACCCTTCCTGGAGCTGATGCGGATATGACCTGCCCAGAAGTAGGGCTCATCAGATTTAAGCTGGGATCAAGGCATTGTGGGAGATTAATCTGTCTGAGATTATAGGCAGGATTTTGTGCACGCCCATAATTTCCCCAAGAAGAGCTGTCATTGCGCTCAGATTCCCAGTGGAGTCCGGGGGCACAGGTGGGGTTCTGGAACCCCAGCTGACTAACACAGAATAAACTCCTGTGTCCGATTAAATGGGCAGCATGGGTTGGAAAGGCTCTTCAGTTCAGGAATTGTTTCATCTTCAGACTCCAGCCCCAGGGTTCCTTCTGGGGGAGGATCTTCTGCTCTCCCCGACCCAAGCCCAACACTGGGTTATGGCGGTCCCCCTCCCTGCCCTGCCCCACAACCCCCAGCTACAGTACCATCACGATGGCTGAAGGGTTGGGATGGAGAGCGTGATCAACAGAGAAGCTGAGGTGTATCACAGTGTTCAAGGGCTGGACCCACCCATGCTGACCTTTGGTTTGCAGCTCCAGAAGTGCTGGGTCCTGAGAAGTATGACAAGTCCTGTGACATGTGGTCCTTGGGTGTCATCATGTATATCCTGTGAGTGTGCCAGGGATGGCCTGGGGGGAAGGCAGGGCTGGGGCAGGGGGACATTCTGTGAGCATGTCAGGGGTGGGGCGGGGCTGGGGCAGGGTGCAGAAGGAGGCTGTACCTCTCTGTGACAAGAGGAAGAAGCCAAGGTTCGCATCCCCTTCTGGACGGGGTATTCCCTGGGAATCCCCTGTATGTCCCCTTCTCCCAGTGTTCATTGGATTCTGTAGCTAAGCGGTGGGTATAAACTAGCTAACAGACAGGAAAATGTGTTGGATTTCTGGGCCCTGTTACTCACTTCATGTATCGTGCCTGAAACCCCCACGAGTTGTAGTTTCTCCGTGACCTTTACCAGAAGCCTGTTTCCCAGCCTGTTTCCCACTCTGTTCCTGGCGGGAGGCCCCTAATAACCCCAGCACTGTCCCCCCTCTTCTGCTCCTCGGTCCAGGCTGTGTGGCTATCCCCCCTTCTATTCCAACCATGGTCTTGCCATCTCTCCGGGCATGAAGACTCGCATCCGAATGGGCCAGTATGAGTTTCCCAATCCAGAGTGGTCAGAGGTATCAGAGGAAGGTAAGGGCCCCACCCGTGCAGGTGTGCGCGCGTGTGCCTGTGGCCGTCCAGCCCGCAGTGTGGGTCTGTACATGTGTCCCTCCCTGCTGGGTACGTGCTGTTTGTGCAAAGGGCCTGGCTTGGGGCTAGCTCCTTGTGCTGTCTGCCTCCCTGCAGCCACCCCCCACCCCCACATCTGGTTTCTCCCTGAAAACTTGGGGAAGAAGCAGAAGGGAGAGCGTGGCCCCTGAGCTGTCTCCCTGCCCCACCCCCACAGTGAAGATGCTTATCCGGAACCTGCTGAAAACAGAGCCCACTCAGAGAATGACCATCACGGAGTTTATGAACCACCCCTGGATCATGGTGAGCCTGCTGGGCCGGAGAGACCTGGGTCCGTGGAAACTGTCCCTCGGGGGGGAAGGGTCCAGCCATGACTGCTCCACGCCAGGCTTTCACTTGACCTCCTTTTCTCCCCCTGCACCCGCACCCCCAGCAATCAACAAAGGTCCCTCAAACCCCACTGCACACCAGCCGGGTCCTGAAGGAGGACAAGGAGCGGTGGGAAGACGTCAAGGTGAGGGAAGCACTGGCTGCTCCGGGGAGAGTGGGGGTCTATTGCAAGAGCAGTGGCTGTGAGCCACTTCCCTGACCAGGCTGGGCTGGGGACTGTGCTCGGTGTGAACGCAGCCTTGGCCATTCCTTATAAGCGCACGGCCCACTGGCTCTCCAGAGGAGCCTGGAAGGCGGTCTGGTACCATCCCATTTTGCAGATGAGGAGACTGAGTCCGAGATGGGGGGTGACTGACTCAAGGTCACAGCTGGTGATGAACCCAGGTCCCCTGACTCCCAATCCAATGCTCTTTCTGCTTCCAGCAGGGTCACTGGGGGGGTCCCTGCTGTCAGCTCTGGACCCACTGACCAGTCTGTTCTCTCCTGGCTCCCACCCCCTGTTGCCCTCACCCTGCCCTTCCTTGTGTTTCTTGTCTCCTCTGTCTTCCCTTTGGTGGAACCCTTCCCCTTCCCAGGAGGAGATGACCAGTGCCTTGGCCACAATGCGTGTTGACTACGAGCAGATCAAGATAAAGAAGATTGAAGATGCGTCCAATCCTCTCCTTCTGAAGAGGCGGAAGAAAGCTCGGGCCCTGGAGGCCGCGGCCCTCGCTCACTGAGCCTCTGAGCCCATCCCGCTCCAATGGAGGACAAGCAATAACTCTCGACCTGAATATATTTTTTAAGCGAAGAGACACAGAACTGTCCACTTCCACCTCGCCTCCTTCTTGGCGGCGTGGATCCCGGAACCCCGTCAGGGGCCGCGACCCACCTTGGTTCTGGCCACCTCAGAGAGGGAGAGGCTGGGAGGCCGGGAGGCTGGGGGCCGTGTGGAGAGAAGGGAGCAGGATGCTCTTGACCCTGTGCTCATTTTGAAATTTTATCAGTAATTTGACTTAGAATTTTTATGAAACCTTTTACTGTTCTTTCCCCCACTTCTTCTCCTCTTACCCAGGCCCCTTCCTCTATGGATGTGTAAGGGTTCAGCGTTGGTTCAAGGGTATTTGTGGAAACTGTTTTAGGGACTGTCCCTGTGTTGTCGCACCTGCCCTCTCTTTCCCCACTACAGCCTGAGGCCCCTGCTGGCCGAGGCATTCTGGGAGCTCCCGGCCCTGTGGGGGGCCGGGGCCAGGATGCCACCCACCTCTGCCGGAGCCCTCAGATGTAACCAGTGTGCTAGACGGACAGGAGAGTGTGATTGCGCGTGCGTGCGTTTGCGTCTGTGTGTGCACGTGTGCCCACACCTGTGTCTGGGACTGTGCATTTGAGGGGCCCGGGGCAGGCAGGGCTGCAGAGAGAGGGGCCCTGCTGTGGCTCAAGAACCTTACCCATCCTTGGGCCTGCCGTGCCCATATCGGGTCTGCCAAAGTGCCTGAGAAGCCTGTCCAGATTCCCAGCGGGGCCCCTGTGCCTGCCCATTGGCTGGTTCTGGGAGGCAGAGAGGAGTGACTTAGGCACTGGCACAGCGATCAGGAAGACTGGACCATCCCCACCCTGGCCCCCTACTCCCCATTCAGTGCTGGTCCTAGTCCTCTGAGGCGCTTATCCACCGAGCAGCCTCCCTCCTTCCTCCTGCCATTATTAACTGGTTCTTGTTGATTTTTCCTCCGTTTTTAGCCACTCCCACCAGGCCTTCTCTCTGCTCGTGCAGGGGGCCAGGGCCCTTCAGAAGTGACACGCGGAGCTTCTGCTTTTCGCAGTCTCTCCAGGGCTCTGGGGGCAGTGGCCCGCTCCCCCTTGTGGACAAAGGCAACACCACGCGTGTGGTCCTGCAGATTTCCACTGTGGCCTAGTGGGTGGGGGGGGAGTCTTCACACCAAAGATGTCCCGACTCTGCCCCTTCCCCATTAGCCCGTTCACCTCCACCCCAGACAACTCAGCTTAGCATGTCCAGGCCAGTGAGGGGGCGGGGGCGGGGGCGGGGAGGACCCTCCCCCTCCCGTCCTGCTCCCCTCCCCCTCTCCCGCTATGAACAACACGGGGAGAAGTCCTCCGTGCCAGGGTCTTTACAGGGCGGGGCATGGCACTAATACTACAGCCCTACTCTCCCTTGGGATGGGTTGCCAGAGGGACAGCCAGGATCTTCTCTGGGTGTGGGGGAGGGGCTCCGAGTGCCCACAGTGCCTCCCTGTCTGTGACGGTGTGCCCAGCACTCAGATTGTTGTAAACTGTTGTTGTTTTGTATGAGCGAAATTGTCTTTACTAAACAGATTTAATAGTTGAAAGGTTTTCTTGCTTTTCCTTCATGGGACTCAGCCTTTCCACCCCACCATGTCTCCTCTCCGCATCTCACATTGGTGGAGAATGGTTTTGTATATTGGAGGGCAGCAGCTGGGTGTCCTGGGAGGGCAGAAGATGGCAGGGCCTCCCAGGTGAGGGAGTGCCTGTCCTGTGCAGGGTCTGGCTGGGACTTGTCTGGGGTAGGGGCAGGAATGCTGCTCTCCTTTAGAGCTGCATAGGGTGGCAACAAGGGGTGGGGAGCCCGTGCTCTTTTGTCAAATACTGAATCGGGAGCCAGGTGGCTTCTCAGCACATGATTCTTTGACCTGTTTAGCCACAGCCAGGCACTGGCCTTCTCAGCCTGACGGGACTTGCTGGCGTGGGTTTCTGGGTTCAAATCCTAGGAGAGACCAGGGGAGCAGGGTGGTGTAGTTCCTAAAAGTTCCAGGAGGGGGCGCCAGGGGTTAGGCCTAAACCGAAATAGTCTGCCTTGATCTGGAAGAGGCCTCAGTGTCCACGTGACCCGTTCTCCCCCATTCACAGATGAAAAGAGCAAGGCCCAGAGGTGGGATGTTTGGGATCACACAATGGATTGGTTTGCAGTAGGGCCTAAGGTAGACATTGGTTACTGACCCCACTGCTCTTCCTTCCAGTCAGATGGACAAGTAGTACACTCTGCGGAAGTTCACATTTTCTCCCTGGTCCTCAGAGCTGACTGGGGAGAAAGGCAAGGCAGAGTGCGTACCCCTACTTTATGAGTGAGGGGGCTGGCTGAGGGCAGAGGGGTGTACTGGAGGTCACACAGCTAATTGGTTTGGACTGGAACTCAGGATCCAAAGGTCTGGGGTGTTCTCCCTCCTCATAGCTGGCCTTCTGCCTGCAGGAGAGACCTGCTCATCCCCTCCGTCGTCAGCAGTATCACAGGTCCCCTGCTCAGGCCTGGGGGCACAGGCAGGGTGACCCCTGGTGGCTCCGACTTCCCTGTTACAACCCTGCGTGGGTTGTCAAGTTCGGGCCCTAGCTCGAGACTCCATTCACCCATGTAGAAGCCTCTGCTCAGATAAACCAGCCTGAGGCTTTGCTCTCCGGGAAATCCAGTTGTGTTGTCTGCACTTACACAGGTGTGAGAAGGGACAAACTTGGAGGAGGATCGAGCAAGGGCTGGTAGGAGGGGAGCCAGAGTGAGGAGGCAGAAGGGCATCGTCACGTTCCACTGTCTTGGGAGGCCGTATTTCTATTGCTGCCCTAACAGCCCGTGGCTTACAGTAGCACAAGTGTAGGATAATCCCACAGGTCAGAGGTCTGATAGGGTCTCACTGGGTTAGAATCAAGGTCTCAGCAGAGTTGCATTCCTTTCTGGAGACTCTAAAGATTCCACTGCTTTGCCTTTTCCAGCTTCAAAAGTCTGCATTCCTTGGTTTGTGACCCTCTTCCTCTGTCTCTAAAGCCAGCTGCCATCACGTCTCTCTCATGCTCCTGTGGTCACATCTCTGACCCAGCCAGGAGCTAGGTGTCCACTTGGAAGGACTTGGGTGATTAGGTTGAGCCTCCGAAGATAATCCAGGATAATCTCCCCATCACGAGGCTCTTAACCTTAATCCCATCTGCAGTTCCTTTTGCCATGTGAGGGACAGTGTGCCTTGGTCCAGGGATCCGGGTGTGGGCATCTGTGGCGCACCTGCTCTGCCACAGGCCTGTGGTACAGCCTTCTCATCCTCTCGCCTCACACGCAGATAATTGTTGGCCGCCTCCTGGGTCTGGGTCAGCCTGGCTCTGGACACTTGTGGCCTGGGACAGTCTGGCCCGGAGCTGGTGTTCAGGAAGATGGCTGGGGTGAGCGGCCACAAGGGACCCAGTTGGCGCATGGGATCTTGCCATGCCTTTGTACTCCTCCCCGTTCCCCTGAGCCCGCATGGCTGGCTCTGTGATTCCCTGTCACTTAACCTCCATCCACTAAATTCCCAGGTGGGATGGGAAAGGGAACTGGGACCTAAAGGCAAATGCTGGCTTTCATGGCAACGGAGTGTGATTCCTGGACGCCTTTCAGTGGCGTAAGATGTGAAAAGGGCTTAAGGACTTAACATTTCCAATTACTGATGTGGAAATGCAGCCTCACGAAGGTTAAATGATTCTTCCAAGGTCTCACAACCAAGCAGAGGTGAATCTTGCCTGGAGCTCCAGGTTCCAAGTGTGGAGGTACTTGGACACACACACACACACACACACACACACACACACGCCAAAGGGTTCTTGGTAAGGAAGGGGTTGGAGGGGCCAAGAGTGAGACAGATTGGATTCTCCTCCACTGAGTGAAATGGTTTCCTTCTCTACGGAATGGAGGGGACGTTCCTGCACCCTGTGGCTACTGTGAGGAATTCAGTGAGGTCATGGCTTTGACCTCCTTTCTAAGGGGCCAGGTGGCCTTTATGAGTCCCACGATCCAGAGGGCACAGGGCACCCTAGGTTTGGAGCAGGCCCTGTGGTCTAGGGTGCGTCAGTCCGGCCCTCGCTTGGAGGGCCTGTCTTTGTGCTTCGGGCTGAGGAGGCAGTTGGTTTGGTAAAGAGTAGCAGTAAATTTGAGGTTTTCCTTTGACTTGGTTGGAGACAGGAAGCGCCTGTGAGGGGCTGTGAATGACGAGTGGGCAGGGTGGGTAGTGCCTGCCCAGGGTGTGAAGGAAATTCAGTTACTTGGGGGAGGAGGATGGGGTTGGCGAGGCTGGGGAAAGTGGCTGTCCTACCCACCCTGGGAAATGTAAACAGACCTGCTGGCCACTCCCCAGGTGGGCCAGAGCCTGCATGGGAGCAGCCTTGGGGGGCAGTCTCTGCGCCCTGGGGCCCCAGGAATACAGCCCCTCCCCAGCTTTATACCTTGAAGTCCACATTAAGGGGCTCCGCCGCCCCAGAGGGAGTCTGGCCAGGTTTGAAAGTAGCTCCTCTTTGGCGGGGACACCAGGCTCCAGCTCTGAGGGGCCTCTTGGCAAATTCATCTACTCTCCTCTCCCTGCATTAGGACCAGTGTGAAGAAACCACCCCAAATCTTGAATCACTAAATACCCAGGCACCTAATATGTACTACGCTTTGGGAAAAAGGAAGCGTAAGACCCAGTTCCTGGTCAGTGTGCAACCTTCAGAGGCCTCGTCTCTTCCTTTCTCTGCCTCCACAGGCCTGCACACCTACTCCTTGGTCTGAATCTCTGCGTTCAGAACTGCTCCAGACAGTGAGGGCTGTGTCCTCCGAGCCCAGGTGGCCTGGGGCAGCCTTGGAGAGCCCTAAAGGTTTTGATCCTGGAGGGATGAGTGAGGTCACAGAGCACATCCTGGATCCTTGTCCTCTGGACAAAGCCCTCACATCCGTGCTGTCATAATATCGGTGCTAACCCCCATCCAGGTGTGTGAAGATGAAATGTGGCTGTGCCAGCACTTTGAGAAGGAGGGGAGGCAGGGTGCCCCTCCCCCAAGTTACAGGCCACCCTGCGAAGGAGATCAGTGCTTTGGCCTCCTTGGCTCACCCGCTCTTGGACTTCTCCAGGAAGTCAGCCTCCTGGCAAAAGTTCAAAGGCCACATTCTGCTTCAGCACCTACTCGGTGTCACGCCCAGTGCTCAGGGCTTTGGGGGAGACACGGATGAATTGGACGTGGGTCTAGCCCTCACGGGGCTCAGTGTAGAGGAGCCGGTGGACAGTGACAGAACAGGAAGCAGGGAGAATCAGCACTTCTAAAATAGGGGGTGCTGGTGCATACGGTGGAGCTCTCCCAGGCAGAGCCCCCTGAGCGCCCCCCCCAAGAGCCCCCCAGGGCAGATTCTCTACAGTAGACAATGAGGGACGACAGGGTGGAGATGCTCCTATCAGGGTGGAGATGCTCCTATCAGAGTTCCACTCCTGTCTCCTGTCTCTCTCTCTCTCTTTTCTAATATTTTATTTATTTATTTGACAGAGAGAGAGAGAGAGATCACAAATAGGCAGAGAGGCAGGCAGAGAGAGAGGGGGGAAGCAGGCTTCCTGCTGAGCAGAGAGCCCGATGCGGGGCTCGATGCAGGGCTCGATCCCAGGACCCTGGGATCATGACCTGAGCTGAAGGCAGAGGCTTAACCCACTGAGCCACCCAGGTGCCCCTGTCTCCTGTCTCTTGAGTCTAGGTTCCC